TAGTAACACATACAGCTGTTCCCTCACCACAGTGCAACAGTGAAAAGGGACCCCTTTCAAACAGTGTCGCGTTCCAAACGTTGTTTAAGCAACATACACCGGTATTGCGGTATTTGAAAAATTCATAACAAAAATAAACGTATTCGGTATGAACCGGTATACCGCCCAGCACTACTTAATACATTAACTAATGTTAACAAGTTTAACATTGTGAAGTGTTAAAAAAAAATAAATCAAGTGAAATCTCCAATTGAGGGATTTATTATTAATATGCCTTATAAGCTGAACTATTAACATACGCAAAATTTCACAAGAGAATCGACACAGAATTCAAGCCATGAGCCGAATGGAAGCTGAGATGTTGAAACACTCCACTTCTGTGTTCGTTTATGAGAGCCAAAGCAAATGAGCAACTGACAAACTGTCTATGCCATCAAGAGCCGAGGGTGGTGTGTGTACACATGTGATCACAGGAAACAAAAGCCTTATGGTGAAAAGCCGAACATGAAAGGAACAAATTATTCAATTTCCTTGAAACACATAAGAGGGCCCTTTGTCAAACAATATGTCACACAACGTGCTGGTGTGAAACACGTGAAGTCATGCCTTCCCTACTCTGTTACCCTTCAAAATATCACCAGATAGCACTGAGATTTAAACACGATCAACCAAATGCTTGAAATTATATGGTGACGTAGATTTCTGTATTTGACTTTGATATGTAGGATTATAAACCAGAAAGGAAGCTGCCAGTAGTATTTAAAAAAAAGTTCTGTTATTAAGTTGTTCCAAATCTGCATGTTTTTTTTTTTCGTTAAAAGGCCCAAGGAGAATTTTAGCAATGTTATGGCTGTTCTTGTCTGTATAATGAAAATAACTGTGGAAAGCTTGAAAATGACTAAATAAAAAACATAAAAGCGGTTCAAACATACGTGACATGGAGGAAAAAACTAGATATCGTGGCCACAATTAAGAATTCGTTTCAACTTGACTTTTCCACATGACTTTTTCAACCGTGGCCATGTTTTATTCATTTCATTAACTTTACTACTGTTAATTTATGGCCACATTGCATTATTATTATTATTATTATTTTTAATTTAGTAAAATTTTAAAATCAGGGAAGGAACAAACTTTCTTCTGCGGAGCACAAAAGACCGTATCTTGATGAATGTTGATAACCCAACAGTTTTGGTTCCCATTGACTTCCATTGTATTTTTATTATTTTTTTGGAATACTTAGTCAATGGCTACCAGCAACTGTTTGGTTACCGACGTTCTTCAAAATATCTTTTGTGTTCCACAGAAGAAAGAAATTCATACAGGTTTGGGTGAACTTTAAACGAGGGAACGAATAATTAAGTCATAGGTACGAATTCTTAATTTGGTGGTGCTTTTTTGTGATTTCTGGAGCTTGAAAGTCCCAGTTCCCATTCACTTCCATTGTATAAAAATGGTGATCGATCACTTTAAGAGACCAGGCCGAATCTTGCTGTGCCTGTGCTAATTCACATAAATTAAAAGACTTCACGAGACATGTTTTAATTTACTTTGACTGATTCAGTGCCAAGAGATTAACAAGTTTGTTCTTGCACTCTTTTTGTCTCGTTCCAGGATGACCTACTCTTATCTCACCTGTTGTTGGTCTCTGAGAGCCCCTCTGGAGGTAGAAAGAGCAAAGGAAGATCCCACCTCAGATTACATCAGGCCACACACACTGAAAACGTGTGTTTTGCCGTCATTCTCCAGTTGTGTGTGACGCTCGCCAACAGCGGCCTAAAGAGACTTTATTAATGTGTAAACAAAAGCACACAAGACAAAAGATTGCTGTCTTTTGTAAAGAAAGCACTAGATGTTTAGTTATGTGCCCAAGCACTGACTACCTGTTGAAGTTAAGGTTCAGCTGCAGTCGACCTGAATGGTTTGCATTGCTCTTTGCAGTACATTCCAGTTCCATAGATCAACCTGCGCTTGTGTGTGCTGAACTGTAGATATTGTATTATAGGAAATAGAAGGACAATATTTTTATAATATAGATACCCATCTTGTGCCTTCACTCTTGCTTTTCGTAATGATGTATTGCGAATTCATATTTTGTTGCTCATCAAATTTGTAAATAAAACTTTATAAGCTTTGCTGGAGTATTGAATGAAAATGTCATGCACAAATTATCTAAAAATGATACAAACTTTAATATACAAAACACTATTTTTAGATATACACTAGGAGTAAATTAGCATCACTCCTTTTTTGAGGACAAAAAAAAAATGTTTCATTACTTACAATATTAAACCACTTTTATATAGCTCTCTCACACACACACACATCATTTTTATAATTAATTATTAAATGAATTGTATATACATTTAAACATTCACAAACATTTCCCCTCCAAATTCAGTAAAAATATTACTTTTACTCGGTATTACAGTATATTTTTGGTAATATAGTTAAAAAATAATTACAGGAATGCTACCAATGTTGTACTAAATTATTAAACATTTTATTTAATAGTTCAATTTCATACTTAAATGATTACATTTAGTAATTATTACATGTAGTACCACCAATGTTGTGTCATGTATAAGATTTATTCTGCATTTATCATTTTTATTTATTTATTTTGGTCAAAAAGCAAACAAATAGAACACATACATTTCAGATTTTTGTTCTTGACATGTTTTTTTGCGATTCACTAGTATATATCCCACAATGCACTGCTGTGAGACCGCTCAGTTTTGGTTCATAAACGCAGTCCTATCTCTAAACATGAATACTGACTGTTCAGCCAGTTGTAAAGACTGATTACCGTGAGGAAGATAAAAGTTATACTGCAATGAAAAATCCCTCAGCCCTCTGAGTCCATGATGAAGGTTTCAAAGTCAGGCTCCAGATCAGACACGAGGGCGTTGACAAAGTCCTCGATGGAGGGTCTTTTCTGCAACATGCCTGTACATGAATCAAGAGGGGCAAATTCCAGTTACATACACTCTCTCAAGCTTTAGCAGGAGGATTCATGATTTGTCTAGATAAATGTTTTCAATATACTTTGCATTAAATAATGTTAACTTCAAAAAAGCACTAAATCTAAGCAGCATTTACACTGGAAGAGACGCAGCATCTAAAAGGTCAGAGGTTTTATCTTCGCAGTGCTACATTTTAAAATGACAATATCGTCTTCCACAAGCTGACAGATATCTACTGCTGCCCAGCTCAGTGAACACAGTGCAGCTTAAATCAGTGTGTGTCATCCTGCTAAACTGTGCACACTCGATTTACAATTCCTCTCTGCTGGCGCTTTGAAGTCTGCTCATTTCCCGTTGTAGAGCTGCCAATGTAAATAGGCCCTCCTCCCTTCCCCCGCTTTCCTGCATGGGTCACCTCTAACACACACACACACACACACACACACACACACACACAGGAGGTCAAGTCCACACAGCTACAGGCTGCACTAAAATCTCATGCGACTTTGACACGAACGATACATGCTATGTATGTACATCTTTCCTAACCAATAAATCATACAATGAAACTAATTTAACAAGATATAAGATATCAATATTTTCTCTGACAATGATTTGGTTGTGATTCTGTACTCAATTACGAGATGAAAATCTGAAATCTGGTCACAATCACAATATGGCTTTATTTGATTCAATTATTTTCCTCCGATTTGTAATAATATATACACCGGGTGTAGATTTGTACAGAGCCCTTGAAGGGATATGATAATGGAAAAAATAAGAGATGAAAGGGAAAAAAAAAATATTTGGAAGTTTTTGCTTTCCTACAATAAACTCTGCATTCTCTCGCAAAGCATTTGCACTCTCTCGAAACAATTGTGTTCCCTTGAGAAAACGTTCACTTGCAAGACATTTTTATTCTTTCGCAAAAGTATTGAGAAACTCTGCATTGGCTCGCAAACGCATTTGTGCTCCCCCGAGAAACTTCCATGCTCTTGCATTATCTTTCAGAAGTATTGCATTCCCCGAACAACTTTTCATTCTCTCGCAAAAGTATTGCGTTTTCTTGAGAATGTTTGCATTCGCTCGCAAATCATTTTCATTCTTTCGCAAAAGTAGTGTGTGCCCCTGAGAAACTTTGTGTTCTCTTGCAAAACATTTTCATTATCTAGCAAAAGTATTGCGTTCCCGAGAAACTCTGCATTCACTCACAAATCATTTGCTTTCTCGCAAAACTATGGTGTCCCCTTGCAAGGGAAATGTTGCATTCTCTTGCAAAACATGCGCATTATCTTGCAAAAGTATTTTGTTCCCCCAAGAAACTTTGCATTACCTTGCAAAAGCACCGAAATACAGTTTTGCAAGCAAACACAAAGTTGCTTGCAGGAGAGCAAAAGGTTTGCGAGACAATGCAAAGCATTGAAATATAATTTTTCCTCCCATCTCACATTTTTTTTCCCGTCATCATGTCTCCTTTATGGGCTCCACAGATTTGGGATCTGGATTTGGTGGATTTTTAAACATAAGCTGCCAAATTGCCGCCAGGTGATTTCTGACCTTCTTGACATGAGTTGGGCATGAAAGATAAGGAGAAGCTAATATTAAAACCTGCCGCTTATATAATCACCTGTCTGACTTCAACTGCCAGCATTATGTCGGTAAAAGTAAGCATTACCTCCTCCAGCTGTACACCTTACTGTACTCAGGTTTTTTTTTTAAATGAATGCTACAGCCACAGATGCCGTTCAGAGAGCTGAAGACTGTTGCTTTAATCTCTGAGTGGATCACACAAGGACTAGACGTCTCCAGCTTCAATAGCACTTTCTATAATGATGCCAATTTCCTGAGCTCATTCTCGAGGGGATTCAGACTACAACCCAAACCACACTCACATTTTTTTTCCTTTTCCGAAACCAAAAATACACAAAATTAAATCAAGGCCATATCCAGTGAGAATAAAGATACCAGATAAATGTTCAGGGTGAACTTTACATTTGTGATGTTAAAGAGTTGGGCTACATTACGGTTTGCTTTCATCTCTGGAATGATCTAGATCATTTAGAGCAATTAAAATGTGTCAGCGTTTGTGTGCCAAAACTATACGTTTTTAAATGTCATACAACTATTATGCCTTAAACTGTAAATGCTTTGTATATAGTTTTTTTAAATTTTATCTTAACATTTCACCAGCTTATTTATTGTGTGCATGTGATAATTTTATAATACTCAAATAATGTATTAAACTATTGTCTATATAAATAAAAATATATAAATAAAACCCCCCCCAAAAATCGTACTCTTATCAACCCCATTGAAAAATACCATATAAAAAATATTATATATAATGTGTGATGTTTAAAAAAAGTTAATAATAAATAAATTATTTTTTAAAAAGCAAAAATATAAGTAACATTTAATATGGAAAAAAAGCTATATATGATCAAAGGTCATATAACAAACAATCCCACTACTAAAGTTTGACCCTACCACTGAGGAATAATTCATCTTTTTTATGTGGGATCATGATTAAACGGTTGACAGGATCAAACATTTGCAAGGATGGATAGACTCGCCATATTCATCAGTGCAGGTGCATTGTGTGTGTTTTATTATGAATCAAAGGGACTTTCTAGTTCAAGAAGTCCTGAACAATCCAGCTGTGTGTGCTGCATGAGGAGGCTCTCTGTGATTGGTCAGAAGAGCTCCTGACTGGGATTGGAGGATGATGAAACTAAGGACACATCAAAGTGAGACAGGCTCATCTCTCTTCAATTAATCCCTGTTTAAACGCGGTTCTTTGGCTCCTGTGCCGCGCACCACACCTTGAGCTTGTGCAGTTACGTGGGCACACAGACATGGTGGAACATGACTCAGGTAGCGCTGGTTTGGGTTTCATGTGAAACAGGACAGGATTATCAAGAGGTCAAGCGAGGACTTGACATAAAACACTATATGAAGTCTTATGCAACCGAACGGAGTTCAATGTTTCCACAGACTGAGATTCAGTGGTCCTGGTCTCTATGAACACTGCTTCAACTCAGGTTGAGCAATGTTTAAAGACTAAGAAGATAATTACAGCCTCCCTCCCAGCAGATGAAGAGATTTTCTGGTTACTCCACGGCTTTGACGTGCGCCTGCGTTTGTAACTATTTGAAACATGTCACGAGTTGAAAGCAGTAAGCTCATGATCTACCTGAAGGCTGAAATTACTTCATCACTGACTGTAATTAAAACTGGAGGTCTCAAAGCTTTGTCAAAAAAAAAAGAAAAAAAAAGCTCAAGTTTCAAGGATTATGCCACTGTGCATATGAATCATGTGGCGGCTTGAGATCTGTTCGACTATGAAAACTTTGAAAAAAGATTGTTCATGTAGATATAGTAATATATCTACATGAACATTATTTATAACAGTTTATATCACGCAATTCTGACTATTTTTTCTCAGAATTCTGAGTATGCATCTCGCAATTTTATGTTATGAGGATATGAATTTCTATGGAAGCATATTTTTTCTAAAAATATAAAAAAGTAATTGCAACTTTTTCATCTCACAATTCTGAGCTTACGGAGTTTATAAAGCAATTCTGAGTTTTTAGAGTTTATAAAGCACGTTTTTTTCCTTCAGAATTGCAAGAGAAAATGTCCGAACTGTGAGATAAGAAGTCATAATTACTTTTTAATTTGTTTATTCTATGGCAGAAAAAAAGTTGAAAAATAAACATATTTCGTATATCATGTTCTGAAGCATGATTTGAGATGATCACATCTAACTGTTTGTACATTTACATAGCTAATTTGTACAATTTTACATCGCTAATGTAATGCTTATTTAATATATTAAATATAATAGTGGATAGTGATTTTTTTGTATTTGTTTTTTGCAAACGTACTTGAAGAAATGTATAAACCTCCCATTGATTTACACTAATAAAACGCTCAGCATTCAAAACCCCACAGCAATGACGTCATCATAAAATTTGCATATTGAATTGTGGTTCATCTTGCTGTCCGTGCAAGATTTTTACATTACAAAACATAATTTAGAAGTAATAGGCTACTTTCTGTCCCGTTTTGATCCCCTCATTGAAATGCTCTGTTTGAATAGGCGACTCGGAAGTAAACGCCCACTGCTATGATTGGATAACAGTTGTGTATGTTTGACAGCCTACAGCCTTCACACTTCATAAATGGACGCTGCTGTGATTTAGGTTAAAAACGTATAAATACTCAGTACATATCAAATGATCTGCAATAACAGACAAAGCAACAGTGACCACCTAATAAAAAGTTATTCACACTTGTGTGGTGTGACATTACTGTCAGATCCAATATAGTCTGTACAGCATCGTCTTTT